AGTGTTTACCTATTTCTGTCTTGCAGATAGTTGTGCTTGCTACTGTATTGCATGCGGAGCTCTCCATCTTTATCTGACAAGACACTTAAAACGTACGCGCCATCTCGTTGCAACTTTCACATCAACGATCCCAACGAACATTCTGTTTGAGAAGGTTCCTGATTACCATCCCTGTGCATTCCACTGTTTGTATGTGAACACATTTGGGACTAACAGGGTTTACTAGAATCCCACCACTCCACCACAGAGTCACCGCAGTAGACGTTAGATGAGCGCTGTCGCTATGCGGCACTTGTTTTATTTCCATTTCATATAAACCATAAAACACGACAGTTTGTTACAAATAATTAATCATAGCAACGAGTAAATACATTATCACATGCATAAACCCTACTGAACTGCATAGAAATGCTGTGTTTGAGCATAACTCTCATATCCGGATGGGTGCCGGTCCCGACGTGGCCGGATAAAGGAGGTCGGACTGTATTTGCATACGTGTGTAGGTATGTGAGTGGGTGTACAAGTATGTTCATATGTGGGTGGGTATACAGGTTCGTGGGCAACCGGGGAGCTGGGCAAGTACGCAGGGCAGGTGGGACTAAAGCTGCAGACACTTAATGATTTATATAATTTGCAGTTCAGCCAAGAAGGTCCATATATATATATATATATAAATGCATATTGACTCAGGATATACAGCTCAACACATTAAAAAACTTAATCAAAAAATTAAATTAATTAATCTTAAATTAAAAATCTTTTCTTCCACTCTTCCACACTCCCGCGCAGGCAGAGATCAGTGAAACGTGCGAGCGCATGGCAGAACACAACAACAATCTGGCAGAGGTGCAGCGCAGGGGTTACCAGGCCAAAGAAAGGCATAACCAGGTCATCCATGAAATCACAGGTAACGTGTCGCTGCCTGTCGCGTAGAATTTAGTAGAAACCAGCAGGTTTTATCACGGTCACCGTATCTCGTACCTGAAAATTTATTTGTCCTGGAAAAAAAAAATCAATGAATTCTAGGCCCGAATCTGACTTATACAACACCCCGGTGTTGTCTTTGAGTAGCTCGTCGATCAAGACGTCACTGTTTCAGTTGCGTGGGCCCCTGTTCCGGGTCCCCCTTCTCTGATCATAATTGCCGTGTTACGCAGCCACTAATCAGAGCATGTCTGTCGGTGCAGGTATCGAGGCAGAACTGAGGCAGCTAAAGGACGTGAGAAACCATCGTCTCATGAAGCTGCGTCAGAAGAGCAAGCACGCTCACGACGCCGTCCTCTGGCTGCAGGAGAATCGCGATCGATTCAAGAAGCCCATCCACGAACCCATCATGCTCGTCGTAAGTTAACACAGCTCTGCAGGGTGCCATCGTGCTCTATGTAAGTTAACACAGCCCTGCACGGTGCCATCGTGCTCTATGTAAGTTAACACAGCCCTGCACGGTGCCATCGTGCTCTATGTAGTTTACCCCATGGCCTTATCTGGATTATAGCGGCATACCATAGGTTACGGTTATGCGTAAACAAATGGGTAGAGGAAAATCTTCCGTCTGTCTGTGTTTTCTAAAATGGTTAATCGGGTTTTGTCTGTCGTTTTTGTTTGATGTTGTCATCGCTGTCTTGTTTGTTATTGTTGATCGTCGCTCGTCAGCTTGCTGGCGCCGGTCACCGGTCGGCCGTAAACCAATCGCGACTTGTCTCCGCGTACCGCCGGCAAACCCCGCTCTCGTCTCTTCGGCCGTGTTTCGGCCGAGCGTGAACATGTTGACCTCACCGGAGATGGCCGTAAGTACGTCGAGCAACACATTCACTTCAAAGGACATGGTCGGCGCTTCGTCTGCGGAGGACGCGACGACATTGGAGTTGTTCATGAAAGACCTGCGCGCCACGAAACAGGACCTGGGATCAACGCCGTCAAGGTTCCCGACGACCCTCGGGTCGCTTTCGTTCCACCGAAGCGATTCGAACATTACTCGTGAGCTACGACGCCGTTCGCCTGCGGCGGGCGCATCGTGATGACGCCACAGATGTTCACGCGAACGCCCAACAGGGCGTGAGGGTTACTACTTACGTGTTTGTGATGTAGCGTCTTTCCTCCCAGTGTGCGGCGTACTGTGCCAGGGAAGGGGGTGCGCGTGTCCAAACGACGGTTAAAAGGCGAAATATAGAGACTAGTATCACAGCGACGCCACGAATTATCTCGGCGGCGCGGCGGAAGGGGAGGGGGTTACCTCCGTAGCGCGTGCTGCTCTTCACTTCGGCCCCTTCAGGATTTTCTGCTTCCCCCGCACGCGCCGTAAACACTTGATGCTTGACTTCCTCCTCCTCCTTCCTCCTCCTCCACCATTACATTTGCGATGCGCGGGCGTGTGCGCTACACCCAATGGGACAGGGGGGCGATGCGGTGTCCCAACAACGCCAGCAGCTAGCAACAACGTTCCAAGACAAAATCACGAGAGGACTAGTATTCATATCGATTCATCGCGAACCACGCTTGACTTCCGTCTACCTCCTCTCCCTCCTCCTCCTCCTTCCTTCCCGCAGGCGATTATGGCTTCCACAGCTTCCTTCGGCGAGCTGTTTGACGCCCGGAGGGGTCTGTGCGCATAGCCTGTGCCGAGCACCAGAGTGCATTCAGATCGCCAAAAAAAAACACGATCAAAAGGACACAGAAGAACAGAGAAAAACAGAGACGGAACAATAATCGCCCAGAAGTGGCCCCCCCTCCATACGCGACGCCTGCGGCCTGCAGACACTTTACACGGGCCAATCACAAGGTGCGGACGCCCGGCAAGCGGTAGGGGAGCGGGAGGCGACAGGCACCGCCGCAGCGCCGGACCGGTGAGGACAAGGCCCGGCGCTGGCCCGCCGGGCCCCCCCACCCCAGCAGCACCGGACACGGCCGCGGCGCAGGCCCAACCAGCCCGCGTAGCCCGCCCCAGGCGCGCGGCACCGACAGGCAGGCAGGGGGGACGGAAGCGCCGCCCGGTGAGCCGCCCTCCCTCCAAGGGCGAGTGGGCTGCTGCGCAGCCGTGGGCAGAGAGGAGCCGGCGTGCGGCGAACGGTGTTGCGGGGAGGGCGCGGTGCTCCACAGGGCTCGGCCGGGCCCTGC